TTTTGGCATCGCCTTCGCCTATTTCTGTGCAATTGCTTTGTTGTTCTTTCTATTTTGCATCGTCTCTTTTAATTCGTTTTGTGTTAGTGAAATTGAGCTGAAGGTGGGTTTTGTGTGAGTTAGGTTAATCGTTAGTTCACTGAGTGTACCAGGCGTCTGTGGTGATCGGATGAACCATAGCCATGTAGTGGCTGGCTTATCATGGTGATACAATCAATTTTAGTTTATTTAAAGTGCTTCTCCCAAATATGATCATACGTTTCCTCTCACTTTGGTTATAGTTTGCTTACAACATTCTACATGTTAGCTAAGTTATGGATTGGCAATAAGTACACTCAAAGACGTGAGTTCAGATAAGTATTCATTGGATTTGATATATAATTTCTACAAAAAATTCATCCATCTAACTTTTAATGTCTACCAACTCATTTTGTTTCTATTGTTTGTCACCGAGTTTGTGATTCTGCACTCATTTTGCATTTATAGTTTCTTCTAATTTATTTGATTTCATGTGAGAGTTGTGAGTTTGGCTCTTCTTTCCCTTTCGCAACATTGTTTCTCATAGCTACCATGTCTGCCGTATTTTAGGCATGTCCATGGGAAGCAAGTTCTTGTGGTCACTAATTCCACGGTAGCTCCTTTGTATCTCGATAAAACTATTTGGGCCTTAACAGATGGAAATCCCAACATCAAAGTCGAGAGCGTGATTCTGCCCGATGGAGAGCAATTTAAAAACATGGTGAACACTCTAAGCCCTTGCTTTCTGAACATCATTATCTTACAATAACTCTATAATTCCAAGACTCACTTTAGTTTTGGCATTATTTTACACTTCCACAGGAAACACTAATGAAAGTATTTGATAAAGCAATCGAGTCACGTATGGACAGACGGTGTACATTTGTTGCCCTTGGTGGAGGGGTCATTGGCGACATGTGTGGATATGCCGCAGCTTCATATTTACGAGGAGTGAATTTTATTCAGATCCCCACTACTGTTATGGCACAGGTCTTTTGAGTTATACTGCGTATAGGCATTTTTTTTTTCCCATCTGTGATGTTTATCCAATGATACGTCTTGTGTTGTGTATTTGTATTTTAAATTTACTGGTTACTCATTTGAATGTTGTGTTTTTAGGTAGATTCTTCGGTTGGGGGTAAAACTGGTATAAACCACCGGCTCGGGAAAAATTTAATTGGGGCATTCTACCAACCGCAGTGTGTGCTCATTGACACTGACACGTTGAACACATTGCCTGATCGCGAATTGGCTTCAGGACTTGCGGAGGTCATCAAGTATGGATTGATAAGAGATGCCGATTTTTTTGAGTGGCAAGAAAAGAATATGCACGCGCTTCTGGCAAGGTGCGTATGTGCATATATGTGTTTTGAGTAGTTGTGTTATTTACTGCCTTACTCGATATTTGTGGATTTATTTTGAGAGCATCTGGTTTGTGCAACATAACGTGTTGCTTTAGTTCCTTTTGTGAATCTTTATTCCATAATTTCATGGATTTTACCTGTGATTAGTAGAAATAATCATGCTTCCGATTTAGAAGCTTAATTGGTAGTCTATTGTCAATGTAATCCATCATTGTTGTTCTTATGAACTTGACCTGAATAAGGGTTTTTGTTATTTGTAGGGACCCAGACTCATTTGCTTATGCTATAAAGCGCTCATGTGAAAATAAAGCTGATGTTGTGTCTTTAGATGAGAAGGAGAGTGGGCTGAGAGCAACATTAAACTTGGGCCACACGTTCGGTCATGTGAGTATCACTTTCTAAATTTGTAGAGATGCTTTTTAAGTTTTAACGGTTGTACTTCTGTGTGGCTTGATGCCTTTGAACATTCGACTTTTGTTGTCAACGTGATTAGAATGGTGTGTGTTACCGAAACAATTCGTAAAGGTTGCGATTGGTTATAAAATAAACCGGTTATTTCTGGTCGAATAATTATTTTACAACTTTTTAACTCAAAATCCAACTCAACTCTCCAAAATATTATTAATATTATTAAATAATACCTAATCAATCATCCCCACACATCACATCAGCTTTAATTCACTATTCATCCACTTATATTATTTTAACTACCTATCATTTCCAATAACATTTCTCATACTTTCATATCATATCAATTTCAATCATTACATTTTAAATATTATTTAAATACAAACTCAAATCCCATATATCCACTCAATCAACTTTTTTTCAAAATGAATTTACTTTATCCAATAAATTCAATCAAAATAAATAAAAAAGGAAAAAAATTCCAATCACCACCAAAACAAACTTGGATTTATTATTTACTAAATATTTTTTTTTTTTATTTATTTGTTATTGTCGTGTTTTACCAAATGTTGTTTCCATGGGGCATCCACAGGCAATTGAGACTGGTTTTGGGTATGGGCAGTGGCTTCATGGGGAGGCTGTGGCTGCTGGAACAGTATGTTACTCTCTTTTACTCAAAAGTCAAACAAATTTTAATGTTATGTGAGAGCCACCTTAAAGTTTTGGTCCAACTTTAAAGACATTTTGTAAATCCCATGTAAATCATTTGTTCTCAATTTTGATCCGTGCATGTAATTTTCAGGTAATGGCAGTGGACATGTCTTACCGGCTCGGCTGGATAGATGAGTCTTTAGTAAAGCGGGTGCATATGATCCTGCAACAGGCCAAATTACCTACAACACCACCAGACACAATGACTGTCGACATGTTTAAGTCTGTTATGGCGGTAAGATAGCACTACGTTTATGTTTGGTAAACCTAGCTGATATAGCTGATAAGTGTTTTTTGAGCATATAGCTTATGATTAATTGTTGAAAAGCTAGCTTATATGATAAATGGGTTCGATAAAATTAGCTAATAAGCTAGCTGGAATAAAATTTTCAACGAGCTTATTTAAAAAGCTACCCAAGAAGCTTATGAGATAAGCTCGAGTTTTTTTCAAAAGTCATCCTACAAAACGAATCTCATTTAAATACATGAAACTTATAAGCTATCCGAATAAGCTATAAGCTAGCTTATTTGATTACCAAACATCGAAGAAGCTAATCAAATAAGCTATAAGTTAATTTATGGTACTTATCAAACACACTCTTAATCTTTTCGACACAAGGACCATTCTTTTTTTATTGTTTTTTATTTTTTTATTTTCTATGAAGCTTTAGCCATATGGTTATTACGGAATGCAGGTGGATAAAAAGGTAGCCGATGGCCAGCTAAGGCTCATCCTGCTGAAAGGTCCGCTCGGCAATTGCGTTTTCACAGGTGATTATGATAGACAGGCCCTTGATGACACACTCAATGCATTTTGCAAGTCTTGATGTAACTTTCACATTTTAGGTTCGAACTCCTGTATGCGTGTATGTAACTTTATCTAATTCTTATGCATTTTATTTTGTATGTGGGGAAATTTTGAAAATGGGAATAATTAATGGAGAGTTTGAAGGTTGAAATATAAAATAAATATAAAGAAGAGTGCATTCAATCCGTTTCATCACATTGTGTTGGTGTTTCACTACTGCCTAAGAACACCATTTGTGGTTTTCTGTTGTGTTTTTGTGTTATTTATTTCATTGGGTCATGAATGTGATACTAAATCAAAATTTAACAGTTTTTTTTGTTCGTGTTATTCATGTCTTGTACGGTACAGTTTGTGTTTTGTGTTGTGTCCGTCATTGCATTTGCCTCTCATGATCATGAAAACACTCATGGCATCAATGCTATTTCTTTTAATTTTGGGGGAGTTCTTCAATCCTATGGGGTCATATATGTAATTAGAATTATGAAAAAAAACAAAAAAAAAAACATCTTTTAGTTATTGCTTCTTCACGTACATTACAAACTAGTGCACGAGACATAAATATTAAATGAGTCATTTCTACAGAGTTTGTCTGTTAAGTAGTTCGTGTGATTCACGGGAGATATTAAATGAGTGGACAATAGGGCTTGTCAATTAAGGTCTAAAAAAGTAATAGAGTTTGATCATATATTTTTTTACCTCTTTCATCAACGTCATCTTTTTTGTCGAGACATTAAACCTGAGCCTGGTAGTGGTACCGTAAATTAATTAATATATTATCTCGCTCACATATTTATAATAATATAAATTTAGTTTCATTATATATATTTATTCTTTGATATAAGAAAAATAACAATTTTACGTAATCTTATTCCTCGTATAATACTCATATTATTTTATTATAAAATTTATTGTAATAGCATGATGAACTAATATATTATTATAAATAATATTTTAACATATATATTTATTTTTTAATACAAAATAATAATAATTTTACATATTTTGGTTCATCATAATACTCAATTATTAATTTATCAAAAAATCTATTATCATATAATGTCATTATTATTTATAACACTTGTAGAAGTAATATATTTGTTATATAATGCTAAATATGTAATGTATATTTATATTATTTAACGATGTAATTAATTTAAAAAGATATAAGCAGATTTAATGTTAGGTAGGAACGTGATTATATGTAAGTTGAGATAAAATGAAATGTATCAAAAAAATCTGCTTATGATATTTTTCTTTAAATGTTTGAATGAATTTGAAATTCAAATTACCAATCAACCTCCAATTATTCAAATAATTTTTAAAAAGTTACCAATTGTAGTAAAATGTACGTGACGAAATATTATAAATATACATGACGTCAGTAATGTTATGAATCTTTAAGTTCTTAAAATATATATTGTTTAGATATGAAACTAATTAACTTATATGTTAAGATAATATATACAAATATATGTATTGTACGAAATATACACGTGACAAGTTCTTATATTTGTTTATATATTGTTTGTATATTTGTTTGTATTGTTTATTATATTTGTATATAAATATATTGTTTATATATTTGTCTGTATTGTACGATAAATTATTATATTTGTTTATATATTGTTTAAATATATATTGTTTAGATATGAAACTAATTAACCTATATGTTAAGAAAATATATATAAATATATGTATTGTATGACATCTTAACGTGTTTGTTAAATTTTTTCCCTAAAAAATTCAAAATACATTTCGACATGTTTTGTTTGAAATTTGAAATTCAAATATGTATCTATATAACAAATCCCATGATTTGTGCTAGCATTAAATGCTACTTGATTTTTTATTAAAAAAAATACTAAAAATGTAATGCAATTAATATTTCCTATTTTTTTGTTTATTATTTTTTAAAAATGTTAATTCTTATTATATATATATATAAACCATGACTCTTACAAGTCCCCAATAGTTGCGCCTTAACTTGTTGTCCCCTCCCTCAAAATCAGTGTATTAATTAATTTGCGGTATGGTTACGAGATTGATTTATTTAATATCAAAAGAAAATAAAAAATATGATATTTTATAGTATAAATATATATTTTTGTTCAATATAGTTTGATATCTATTTCTGGGTTAAGTTGTCACCTATAAGAATTTGTGATGTTACACATATAAGGATTTGTGATATTTTTCGAACCAAAAATAATACTTATATCATAAAATGTCATCCACTTTCAATATTAATTTTTTACATTGTGTTACATAAGTATAAAAGTATGCATATTTATTAAAAGGGTATAGCTGCCTAACGGTTAAACGTGCCTAACAACACGATTATGTTACAATAAGTTAGTCTTACATTCCAAAACATCCCACATAGAAATTTGGATCATCCCATGAGCAATGCCCCATATGCTTTTTGAAAACATTTCTCTTCTAATAAGCAATGCACTTAAAGTGCATGGGCTCTACACCACAAATGTTTTATTTGCATAGTTAATGACATTTTTGTTATATTTTCATAATTAACATCTTCATTACTTAAGAAAACTATATTTAATTCAACAAACTGATCACCATTATGAAATATAATTATATTTCAAATTTATTTAAAAAGTATTATTTGCAGAGTATATATTAGTACTTTTTTTTTTTTGAATATACAAGAAGACCCGCAGGCGACAACTCATAACACTGATGAAAGTTTGATATTAATATCTGAAGACGTGGGAGCCACTTTTATTCGACATATGAAGCAATTGTTTTTTATTATTCTCAGCTCCCTTTTTTAAAGCACTTAAAAAAAAAGATTAATAATTATGTTGATATTAAATCGTATGATAGGTTATTTTCCTCAAGGAAAGAAGAAATCAATGGAGCGGGATGCGACAGATTTTATATTTTTGTTTTTATTGTTGTAGTAAATAATATATTTTTAATATATTATGTACAAAATAAAAATGAAATGGAAAAGGTTTATTAGAACACACGTCTTTAGCCTTCAACAAGAATCCAAATCACAACCAAAATTTAATTTTATACATAAAATTATCATTATATACAATATTATTATGGCAATATTAATTAGTAATACCAATGATAATAATAGCAATACTATAGCTGAATTTCAACAGTCAAATGACAAATTAATATTGCACACCACATTACATTTCATATGCTTATTCTATAATGGTATAATTACCCTAATTCGGTGGTATATTACATTGGATTTTACGAAAAGAGGAAATAAAAAAGGTCTGACCAAATTGATTTCCATTATCCCGCTGATAATTATACATAATATCAACCCTATAAGGCTATAGAAGATGCAACCTAATTTTTGCATCAAATATCACCTAATTGAATTACATAGATACATATATACGTAAATATTCACAATCTTATATAAACACACATGTTCACCTCCCACATTTCATCAAGAAACCCATTTGATCTTCATTTCATAACAAAAAAAAATCTCCCAAGNTTAAGCTCACTTGAAGGAAAAAAAAAAAATGGCTTCCCCAATGAAAATGAGTTTGATTTTCTTTGCTTGCTCTCTTTTATTCAAGGGATCTCTAGGTATGCTTTCTTTCTGTATGAATTTTGTTCAATAATATTATTAAATTGTTATTAACAAATAGCTCCTTTTAAATATTTCCATCGTAGACAAAATTGCAAATTTTGCCCATTAATTCAAAGCATGTGACAATTCTTGGCATATAAATTTTGCGATTGTAATAAAAAATGCCCACTAACTCATGCAATTGCGAATATTCTGTTTGAATATGTGAGATGTGGGTATTTTTTGTAATTAGTTAGCGAGTAATTTACTAATTTTTGTATTATTTGGTATGTTTTTTGTTCAATTTTTATTAAATTAACTAGTTGGTACGTTGTTTCTCGACATTGCAAAAATTATTATTTGGTTTTGCTCGACTTGTATTAATTAATGGGTATTTTTCAAAATTGCAAACGGAGTAAATTATTTGTCATTTGTCTACGACATAATTTATAATTTTTCTTCATTAATATCTCTTAATTATTCATATTATTTTGTGTTAAAATACAAAAAAAAATACAATCTTTTAAAATGACGCAAAAAATATGTACACATCAACAGCCGATGTCATATGCGAGAACTTACCGGAGAATCTCTGCGCCTTCGGAATCTCAACCTCCGGTAAGAGATGCGTGCTCGAAAACTACAAAAACGAGGTTTCCGGCAGCCTCGACTACACTTGTCAGACATCGGAAATCGTGGCCGAGAAATTTTCCGGCCACATCGAGTCCGACGGCTGTGTGGCCGCTTGTGGCCTTGACCGGCGGCTCGTCGGAATATCCTCCGATGCCCTCTTGTCGCCGGAGTTCACCGCTACCTTATGCTCACCGGCTTGCTACCAAAACTGTCCCAACATTGTCGACCTCTACTTCAATCTTGCCGTCGGTGAAGGTAACCGGAAAATAAAAATTGTGAAATTTTCAAATTGTACCGCATTGTAACATAAAATAAAAATCGAGCCGAAAATTTTATACACTAAAAATAGACGAGCTAGACTGAATTGCGCGGTTCTAACTCGATTTTTTTTATAAATCGAGTGTGTTTGTATTGATTAGTTAGTATATCAATTATTATTTTGTTTGAACCTTTTTCTATACACAAAATAATCAAGTCGAATCAAGAAATTGAACTAAATTGCATGGTTCAACTCGAATTTTCGATTTTCTTGTGCATTTGGGTTAGTTTATAGCAAAACTAAGAGCATGTTTGGATACAAAATTTTTCAAAAAAATCCAAACATTTTTAACTCAACCACTTTTTTTAACTCAACTTTAACTCAACCCCACTATCATTAATATTATCAATATAATTAAATAATATCAATCAATCATTCTTACACACCACTTTACCTTAATTCACTATTCATCCACTCACATAATTTTAACTAACCATCACTTCAAATTTTCTCTCACCTACTTTACATCAAATCAACTTTAATTATTTTATTTTAAATATTATTTAATATACCCACTAACAACTAACCATACCAACTTTTTCAAAATTAACCAAATCAAACAAAAAAATCCAAACAAAACCAAAATTTTTTATATCCAATCATCCTCTAAACGTTGAAAAAACAAATAAAAGAACGACCAAAAGTTTTCTTCTATATTAAAATATTCAAGTAAAATTCCACCTCATCTAATGTCATGGTTGGACTTGGTCTTTTTGATTTCTGCTCGGTTTTGCTCGCTTTATTAGAATCTAATTTATTGCTATTATTTAGATTATTAGACTTCCTTTACTAGAGATTTTGTCTAAATTTGTATTCATTAGTTAATTTATTAATTATTATATTGTTTAAATTTTTTTTAGGAGTATTTTTGCCGGCTCTTTGCAAAAAACAGAGCTCCAGCTCAAGACGTGCGGCGTTGGAGCTTTTGAGCAGCGGCGGTGGAGCCCCTTTCACGGTGGATGATGGCGTGGCCCCTTCTCCGGCGCCGGCCACATACTGATACAGTTATATGGAGTTAATTTGGCTGAATATTCATTAAAAAAACTATATATAGATAAAAGAGATAAGGATCAAGAATATATATAATTATAAATAATGGGTTTTAGTAGTTGGTCTATTTTGATGATGGAAATGTTATGGTTATTTGTTTCAATTTGGATTTTTATTGAAGGTCTTTGTGGGTGACATTCAGTATAATATAATATGTTGATGAATATTTGGAATAAATACAACTAATTTTAATATGATTTACTCTTAATAAATATATTACTATTTAATATAAAAACAAAATGATAATTTCATTTTAATAAATTAATAATATAAATGTAAAATAAATTGTAGTATAAAATTTAAATATACATTTTAATGAATTGAAAAAATATAATCTGTATAAATTATTATTAAATATAATTTATAACAAAATTAAATGATTAATTTAAATAATTAAATTTATAATAAAATTAAATGATACTTATATATATAATATATTATTAAAGTATAATTTCGAAAATAAAATATTTTTTATTTTATTTGGAAATTCGGAATAAACACCACTGTGCAGTTTGATTTTGTTGCGGTCTATATGGGCCAGGGTGTTATATAACTATTGGCCCAATTAACTCAAGGCCATATATGAGATATGTTGGGCAGAAAAAAAAAACGGGTCGTTGATGAGTTCGATTTAAGCTCTATTAGTTGACCAGATATTAAGATTTTTAACGATTGATAATGTAAATTTTTATATAATTTTATATAGCTCAATTTATAAAGGCTTGAATTTGCTTGTTTATGCTGATAAACGAGTCGAACACGAATTCATTTAGCTAACGAGATCGAGCTCGAGTATCAGAAGCTCGACTCAACTCATTTACCCATCTTACCACGATACAACACGATAATTATATATAATAGCAAAGAAGAATAATATAGTGGACACGATATGGAACAATCCGAAACACGAGAAAAACACGAAGTAAATAGATTTTTTAGTTGAATTTTAGATATATTATCTATTTATGATTAAATTAAATAGATAAGACGAAAATGTATCTTTAAAAAATAATTATTTCGTTTTAATTTTGAATAGAAATTTTGGATGGGCAAACAAAAATAACTTTTTTTTTTTTATCCAATAAAACCTATAAATTCATTTTCACCTCATACAATCACACCAATTTACAAGCTCAGTTGATTAGTTATATACTTCATAAATTTAAAATAATTTCAACTTCAGCAAAAGCGAAATGAAGATTCAACCTTTGAAGACCTTTAAGCGCAGTTTCTGACTCAAAAGCCAACTTTACTTTCTCAAGAAAAATCTCCCCTACACAGATCCACTCCATAGAGACAAATGCTAAATGGCCGCTTAAAATAATCCAATCTTGATAAAAAAAAAAAAAAGTGTTCGAGCTTCTTGCGATTTCCAAAAAACGACAGCTTTCTAAAAATGTCCCACTCAGAAGCCCAATTCGGCAGCCGCGCTCCCGCTCCTCCCGCCGCCGGCTGCGGCGGCGGCGAAACGGAGGAGGACGGAAGCATTTGCTTGCAGGACGTCGAAACTGGTGGGGCCAGCGAAAACAAGGTTAATTTCGGGAAACTTGAGGGAGATTGTAGGATTTGCCATTTGAGCCTGTTTAGCAGCAGCCCAAGTTGTTCTGGGCCCGCAATTCAATTGGGCTGTGCTTGTAAGGATGATTTGGCAGCGGCCCATAAGCATTGTGCTGATACTTGGTTCAAGATTAGAGGGAACAAGTGAGTAATTTCAGAAGCCCACAAATTTTTTTTTTCAAGCTCTGTTTTTTCTTTTTAATGTTGATGTTTTTATGGTTTGTCCTGTGCTGGTTTCTCATTGCTGTTATTGTGGGCAAATTAGAATATTTTTGGAGTATTTAATGTGGTAAATTAACTATTTTGGTCACATTTGGAAGTTTGCTTGGAAAAAAGTTAATGTTGATGTTTGCAGTGAATTTTCAAGATTGCCTGCATCTCATCTGAGTTGTGGTTTTCAGTCAAAGTTTGGTTTCTCACTACCCTTTGTTTTGTTTACTCTTTGTGGAAATATCATTGAAGCTGCTGCTGTCAAAAAATCAAAATCACACTACTTTCATCTAGAGATTATTAACAGTGACCATAATATTTTTCCTCTCAAATTTGGACAAAATGTATATTGCAGGACATGTGAAATCTGCAATTCAGTTGCAGAAAATGTCGTGGGCCCCACCGACGACTTCGATTTTGCACAAGAAGCCAGTGAATCCAGCATTAATGAAGATGAATCGGGACAGTCGAATGCAGGGGTTCGAAGATGCTTAAACGGGCACCGTTTATTGAATATTTTGCTCAGTTGTCTCGTGTTTGCTTTCGCCATATCATGGCTGCTCCACTTCGGTATACCTTCATAGCTAATGATTTCAAGAATTGGAAAAATGTAATAATTGTTCAGTTAATCATATGACAATAAATTTTGAAAGCTCGTGACCAAATCAAGATGCCGTGGCTATAATTTTATTCGATAAAAATAATTTCAACTTACGAAAAAAGCTAGTGTTTTTGAATTTTTGAGGTGAACTCTTTTGGACCTTTTTAGTCATGTTCATTGACACTCTTTGGAATGATTGGTAATGGTATGAAGAGTGAGTGATGTTATTATTTGCATAAACGACCCAAAGATCGATCTAATTAACTGCCGTATCTTTATTCATTTATTTAAAGCTAATTTTGACCATTTTGGTAAAATTTGGATATTCATTTATGCCATTGAAGATTGTACCTTTGACTCCTAATAGTGATTGCCTTTCATAAAGCTAATCTCCCTTCTGCTTTTGAAGGAGAACAGGTTCTTCTATGGCTGCTTTTTCCTAATCACTTTTGAGTTATGAAAGTTTTCCTTTTGCTGGTTTATAATTTTCCCTTAATTAGGCCATTATATTCAACGAAAAATAAGTTGTACAGTGTATATTTTTCCATAATCTCTTTTTGATATAATGTTGTATCACTTTATTGAATACTAAAGCTAGCTTTTCGTCTTGAATATTATTTCTTGCATAGGAATAAAATTCATCATCCTTATGAGATGATCGGTTTTGACTAATGCAATTTTAACACGCGTATTTTATTTCAAATTTGATGATTTTGCCTCCTTTTCAGTTTGAAACCCACGTACACGTGAATGCATGGAAAGCAAGTAAATAGGTTTTGGGCTTAAAAAGCCAAAGAAATAATATAATTAATCTTAGTACCTATTATTTAAAGAACAAATTATGAAATTGTTCACTGGATTCAATGTGATATGAAAAGAATTATTACAATCAACCATAGACGAATGAAAATACAGAAAATGGTTAATATTCCAAATGACTCGTCATACCAATAACTTGTACATATAAATATTGCAAATATTGAGATAAAAATATAATTTCCTAATTCTATATATAAATATGCAAATATTGAGATTAAAATATAATATTCTAATTCTTTCCTACTAAGTGGGAGTTGCCCCTCACTCTCTTCACAAATTTGTTTAGTTGAAGTAACCGGAGAGACCCGACCTTGACCCGGACTAGAGATGACCCGACCCGGACTAGAGAGTGGTCCGAATGAAAGTCCTCTGATAAGACTAAGCTGAGTTACTAAAAATACGTTTAGTTACTAAAAATAATATTTGGTAGAATTTTTATTTATTCTCTTTTTTCCTATTTAGAACAATATATTTCTTGGAAATAATCTTTCTTTAAGAGAATAAAGAAAATATTTTTTTATACTTATAATAATTATTGCAAGATTATTCAAATTTAATTATAAATATTATTTTAGCAATATACAAAACAATAATTATAACACCATGAATGGAAATATTTATAACACAATAATTATTTAGCCGTCCTGTTGAAAAACACAGGAATGTTGTATGGTTTTGACTAATGCAATTTTAAAACGTGTAATTTTTTTCAGTTTTATGATTTTGCCTCCTTTTCAGTTTCAGACCCACACACGAGAAAACAGTTGCACTCTCCGATGTATTTCCATGTTGAATGATGGGTTTTTGCAAATATGCTTCATCTTTTTTTTTCTTTTTCATATTTGTGTTCAACCAGTGAATGGTTTTCATATGTGCTTAAGCGCAACAAAATTTAATTCCACAAAAAAATGGAAATATATCATGAATTCAACTATTCAAGAGCCTCCAGTTCAAACCATACAACATTCCTGTGTTTTTCAACAGGACGGCTAAATAATAAATGTAAAAATATGTGGCCCGAAAGTATTGGACTCACAATTAATTATCCTATTGGGCTAGATCTTTAATTAATGGTCAAACAAATCTAAATTATTAATCTGGATACTTGATGGACGTACCAGATCTAAAGCCACCCCTATATAAATTAGTCTTCTCTCCTACTAATTAATCTTAGTAATAAAATAAGAATTATTAAATTATTCTCATTCAACTCACAATCATCAATAGACGAATAGACGAATGAAAATATATATAGGTTAATATTTCAAAGAACTCTGTCACTACAATAAGTTATAATAATACATAAATATGCAAATCTTAAAATTAAAATATAATTAGTTAATTACAGAACCACTAACCGGAAGTTTCCCCTTTCTTCACCAATTTGTTGAGAAGAGACCGGGCCCGAACTAGTGCCAACCGGGCCCGAACTAGGGGCGAAGGACAGTCTTCTCCCGAGACTTTGTTACGATTAATGAGCTTCCTTACATCAATACTCTCTCCCCCAATTACCCCGATTACCATAAATTAACCATGTGTAAATCCAATACAATCTAAATGCATAAAAAACACGTTATTTTATGGAAAATTGGCCGATTTGCTACAGTAAAAAAAATCATGTTTGAATCCACTACAATCAGACAATCAAAATATGCTCAACTGTTTGAAGGAAATAAAATATAAAGCCCGTCCATACTATGTAAACAAATAATCATTTTACAAAATATAAAATATCATGCAAAAGTTAATTAAACTGTCCAATTTGATGTAAAAAAATAATCATATTTTTTCGTTTATGGAAATATATCACATTATATCAAATCCGCCAATTTGAACAAATAATCCTTTTAAAAAAAAGCATCTATACTTATATAATAAGGTGTACCATTTACGAAATTTAGTAAGTTGAAAAGTCAATGCAATAAATGCATTACAATTTTGAACAACATAATATAATATCATATCTATAATTATATAAAAGGAGATTCTATTTACTACATTTACTATCCAGAAAAGTCAACTGCATTAAATGTCATTACTATTTTGGTATTATAATATTTTATTTAATTAATTAATTAATTTTTTTTTTAATTTTAAGAAGGTAAGTATAATGAAAAAATTTTAATAATAAAAAAATCAAATACCAAATAAAAATGTACACTTTGACTTATTTGATTATATTTGGTATTTGATTATACCAAATATATTCCTATTTAGTATATACATTAAATACTTACTAAAGTATTTATTTGTTTTATTTGTCAAAGTTATGTGTAGATTTGTTTATATTATCAAATCATAAAAAAATATTAAATCCATATTGTAAAAAAAAAAGCATATAATTTTATAACAATTCTATTATGCTATTTAACAATATTCCTTTTTTATTATATAATAAAATAATAATTAAATATTATATAGTGAACAACAATAAGTAAAACTGTTACTTTCTCTTATATCAAGGGATAAATTTATATGCTAAAATTAAATTTTATTAGTATAAATGTTTTAGTGAGATAATATATTAATTATTTTACAAGCTAGTCCTAACATGCTCATATTTAATGTTTTAAAAGATGTAGAAAAAAACTAATAATAACTCTATTGTTTTTTAGACTTAAACGTTGATTAAAACAGGTAAAAAATCCTAATTTTTTAGACTTAAACGTTGATAACACCATTGATTGAGAGTCTATATTTAGTAAAATTCCTAATTGTAATAAAAAAAATTAATTTTTGCTATATTTTAGAATATCTTTAAATTCATTATAGAAAAAAAGAAAAAAAAAACTACAATAAAAAAAGCAAGTCAGCTATATATCGATTTGTTGTACTCCTCAAATCACATTCACAATTTGGCTACAAGAAAAGGAAACTCATTGATTAAAATATTATTTTGTCAGTAGTCTTAATGTACAAGAGACTTTAAGACTCCACTTGAATATTATAAAACTTTTATTGAACATTGTACAATTTTCTTGCGTATTATAAACTTTTATTGAATACTGCATCTTATAATATAATATTCTCCAAATAATCCCGTACATTTTTCTTTATTCATGTATATAATTATAAGCCTAGATAAATAGACTTAAAATTGTGCATCCTGTGCATCGCACGGGCTCTGTACTAGTATTATATAAAGGTTTGACATTTATTTAAATATGAAGTGTAATTTTTCATTAAACACATTTCGTTACTAAAAATAAAATTGTGTATAATTTTTTATTTATCCTATTTTTTTCTTTTTAGAATTGTATATTTTATTAGAAATAATATTTCTTTAAGAGCATAAGGAAAATATTTTTTTTTATAATTATAACAATTATTGCAAGATTACTCAAATTTAATTATAAATATTTTTAACAATATACAAAAATATTAATATTATATCTTTTAAAGTACATTTTTTCATTATAACACCATTCATTTGTGATACTTAATAACGTATGAATAACATAATGCAAAAACATTAATTCACATGGACACAGAAACTACAAGAAAATGATGAAATTCCAACGGAAATATATTCAAATAAAAACTATGATTAAATATAAAAATGTAGAAATGAAACCCTATGTCCGGTTGTTCCTCCTGTTGAGGCGGGTTGTTTCGAAGTCTGGTTTGTGTTTCGGGCTCGGTTTCTTGTATAGGCCTTGTGGCAGTTTCAGAAGCCATCCAGAGACTTGGACTATTTTTTGTTTCGACTGTTCTCCGTTGGTTGAGGCCGGCTGATTTGTCGTGGAAGGGCCTTGTGTGTTTTTATCTTTGTTTTGTATTGTAGTAGGCTTGTGTTTTGGTTTGGGCGCGTTGTCTGTGTGTTTATGTCTTGTGTTTTTGGTTTGGGCATTTAACCTCTGTGAGCACGAGTGTCAATTTATTATCCTGTTGGGATCAGACACTTGAGTATTATCCCGTTGGGATCTTTTTGTAGTTTTTGTTGTAGTTTTAGTTGTTGATTTGTGTGGTTGCGAGTTTGATATTCTAGCTCTGCTAGATTAGGCTCTAAGCGATCCTTTGGATCTGCCTCCCAGTTTTATCACTCTTTGGTTGTACTATTCAGCCTTTGGTTGCTTTTCTTCGCACTTTGTACGGTTTTATTTATGTAGTACATCTATCCTTTTGGGAAAAAAAAGAAAAAAAAAAACTCTATGTCCGATAATCTTGCTTTTTATACTATTATTCCGTCAATTATGTCCGTCCGATTCATTTGATTTTTTGGACCATTGATGCTTGGTCAGATTAAATTACGGGCATTTTTTTTAAAACAAACGATCTTCCAGTGTTCTTCGACACAACAGACTAGATACATTAAAAGGATCGAATTAACGAATGAGAGCATCGAAGGCTATACACACATCATAGAGTCTTCATCTTTTTTCCTTCATTTTCTGTTTCTTTTGGCTTCCAAATCAGTGGCCTCTCTAAGTGCTTGTTGAGCATCACTTTCCATTCCGAGCGCAAAGTGGCAAGCCGCAAGGAGATGAAAAACGGTTGGCCACTCGGGAGAGATTACAAGCGCTTGTGTGGCGTCCTCTAAGGCCTTGTTTGGCATGTCGCTCATTAGATAACACAAGCAACGCCGAGCATGAGCAGTTGGCGAAACCATTGTCCCACCATCGATGAACTATATATAAAGCAACACAAAAATCCAATTTTAGTCCAACAATATGCAAGTACTAAGGTCGTGCTTGTTTATAGAAAAAAAAAAAACTAGAACAAAATTGTCTTTTTTTCTGGTTTTTTGTGTTAACTAGAGTTTATTTGAAAAAAAGTTAGTGTGGTTAGTTGTTAGTGAGATTTTAAGAATGTATTAAAATAATATTTAAAATAAAATGATATAAATTGATTTGACGTAAAAGTAGGAGATAAATAATTGAAAATGATAGGCAGTTAAAATTATGTGAGTGGATGAATAGTGAAATAAAGTTGATGTGATGTATAAGAATGTCATTTAATTATATTATAATATTTAGGATAATGGGGTTAAGTTTAAAGTTGATTTAAATTTTGAATTGAGATAAATTCTTTTTCTAGTTTTTTGAATTGTCCCACCATCGATTATTTTCTTTAACTTTTTTTCCTCATAGTATGATGATTATGATTTTGCAATATTAATTGCCATTAGCATATATGAATACCTGCGTGTAGCAATCAATGGCTGTCGTAAAATCCTTGGCTCGAAAAGCAGAATCTCCTTGCTTCTTGGAATTCAAAGTCTCCTGCATCTGATTTGTCCACAGTTGAAAAGATAGCTACAGAGAAATCAAACAAGCTCATGAGTTAACTTAAATCGAAGTACTAATTTCATGGGACAATTTTCCAAAGGAAAAAAAAAAAAGCAAGAAAATGCAACCTCATTGGCAATTCCCTCATCGTCTTTGTATCCATTTTTGTCCAATATTTCATGTATGGCAGTAAGATCCATTCTCAAGCAAGCTTCTCCTAAGGGAGTCAAAGGTATCGGTTGTGTACTGTTAGCATTTCCTTGTTCGACACCGAGCAAAACATAAGAAGGGACCTGATTTTTGTAAATATAAGATCATCATCATCATTGTTATAAATCCACAGTGGAGAGAGAGTGTAATTTTTTATATAAATTTCCATACATACAGTTTTACCTCGGTTTCTTTCTGAAGACAAACGAGAGATGTGACGAGCGATTTGGTGTTGGGCCTTTCTCGAGCCTCATACTGCAAGCAACGGGTTGCTAACCGAACCAATTCAGTTCCATCATCGTTTGAAAAATGACCCTCCAAGCAAGAATCCATGAGCATTAGAAAATTCTTGCCCCTGATTAAATCGAGCGCCTGTAAATGGGAAATGGAAATTCATTTTCCCTTGCATAATCTATTTTGTGTTGATAAAAATGTCATTTTTAATGAAATACAGAGCAATCATGTTGATAAAAATGTCATTTTTAATACTTTATTAGAAGAATAATATACATATTCAAGATTGAATAGAATCGCTTTTTAACATTTTCATGAATGTTCTGTTTTTTTTTTCCCCTTAAATCAAGATAAAGATCAGACATACGTGGCTCGGAGGTATATGCTTGCCACTTAAGAGATCGAGCAACAAAGTCCCGAAGCTGTAGACTACACTTTCCGAAGTCACTCTGCCTACACACACACACAAACATACTATAAGAAGCATAGACCATACATATATATGCTAATGAAACTAAAGAATGATGTGTAAGTGTTGTAACATACACAAGAAGCTTGTGGGGAGTCTTTGAAATCAATTACTACTTAAAAAAAAAATCTTAACTTTAGCAAATTATTCGCATTACTATGCTGATGAAACTAAAAAATGATGTGTAAGTGTGTAACATGCAAAAGAAGTTTATGGGGAGTCTTTAAAACCAATTACTACTAAAAAAAAATCTAACTTTTAGTAAATTATTCGCATTACTAATGAAACTTAAGAATGATGTGTAAGTGTGTAACATGCACAAGAAGCTTATGGGTAGTCTTTGAAATCAATTACTACCTAAAAAAAATTCTAACTTTAGTGAATTCTATGCATTTTTACCTGTTCTCAAGTACTCGGGGGGAGTGAAAGCTAAGTTTGTGCTGTAACTTTTGCCATCTCGACTATTCTTCATCAGACCGAAGCAAGAAAGCCTCGGATTACCATCCTATTAACGAGCAATCCCTTATAAGACCATTTAATATATAATTCTCATACTCGATACCCAAGTGCAAGTATATTTCAGCTCACCTGATCAAACAAGACTCTGTATGCATTAAGATCGTGATACAATGCTCGCCCTTTACTGGTACAATAATCGAGAGCTTGGGCCAAATATAGTGCCACCCTTAACCTCATTGCCCATTTCATGGGTTGCTTTTCCCCTATTAGAAATCAACACACACACAAAAAGAAAAAAAGAAAAGAAAAAAAAACCATCGGTATCTGAGAATAAATTATACACATACCCCTTGAGGCCCGATAAACTACCAAAAAAGAGTAAAGAACTCAGCTACTATCATTAGATTTGATTCCTTTAGAAAGATACAAAGTTTTGTAAAGGCCACTGAATCTTTTTATAGCAACTTACTCTAGTATCGAAAAAAATTCGAGGATGTAGGAGATTTTTTACAAAATTACAGTAATAGGCAAAATTTGACCCTTCACGAGTTTTTTACCATTGAATCACACACACACATAAGTGAAGTGATATCATGAGACTCACAATGAAATAAATGCTTAGCCAGAGTCTCATTGGGCATAAATTCTGATACAAGCAATCTCTCTTCTCCTTCAAAGCAACAGCCAATCAGATTTGCCAACCGCTCGCTCCTCAGATTCCCCACTGCCTTAGCCTCATCCTTCACCCAAAACATTCACAATTTAAAAGAAATAAAAAAAAAAAAAGGAAAAAAGTGGTGAACTCAATTTGGCAGGCACAGAGAATGTGAGGAAAATAAAAAGTTTTGATGTTATGAGAATCTGATCTTCATCTACAAGGTGGTCTATACTAATTACTACCTTTTTGAAAAAAAATTAAGTATTGATGTTATTAAAAAGGCACATATAAAAAGAAAATCAACCCAAAAAAAAAGTATATTACTTACAAGAAATTGGCGAGAATCAGGCCAAGCAGATCTATTAAAGCGCTTAACAGCAATCAATCGTTCATCTTCAAGCAAACCTTTGTAAACAATATTAGGAGCTTTCTCACCATGCTCTGAAACTATGTTGTCTGAAGAAAACCCATTTGTTGCAGCTTTTAATTCGTCCCAGTTAAACTCTCTAAAGCCCGGCCATGAATTTTTCACCTCGTTTTCTACAGAGCCCAAAGGTTAAAAAACACACCCAAAACAGAAAAATATTGCATCTATATAAATACCAACAAACAAAAATCGATCAAAATCATCATACAGGTAAAACCAAAACTCACCCTTTTCACAAGGCTCACGAGGTGAAGGATTGAGATTAGAATGCCACCAACAGCAGCAATACTTCGAACACATCGCACCCATTTTTTGACAGTTAAAATAATTTAAGAATGCTTTAAAGGAGACAAAAATGAGTAGAATCTCGCTTGTTATTGTAACAGCACTCAAGATTTAGCATTGGGATATCTGCTAAAAGGAAGAAAAAGTAAAAATAAAAATACAGAGTGTTTTTGGTTTTGTGGATCCAAGGATGGTAAATTACTAAATTGTTTTACACTGATAAAAAAAAAAAATCTTTTTTCAATTTTTTGAGCTTTCACATTTCAGGGGCATGCACTGTGAGCATGGGGGGGGTGTGTGAATGGGGTGCACAGTACACTATGTATGATTTCTTTTGGTGTGTTTTCACTTTGGTGAACTGTGTGTGTGCTCCAATGTGTGTCTGTGTGTAAAAAGTTTCACTTTTTTTTGTATTTTTTCTGCTTTTTGCAGTCTTTTCAACTTCCTCATCATTGTTCTTCTTTTGTGCATCATTTTCTCTCCATTTGTTGGCAATTTTTTCTTGTTTATTGAATGTTAAATCTGAACCTTAACCATAGGTAAATATTATTGGTGTTGGGTTTGAACTTTGAAGTTTGAACCTTAATTGAGTGTTAAGAAAATGATTCATATTCAGTACAAGAATGAAGACAATGCCAGCTTGTCTGTGTACGAATAACTTTCCAACAAAAACGACAAAAAGTAGTTTTAACAATTGGAAAAATTCCAGCTTGGTTCAAAACGTTTGAAGGCTCCCATCTATATATATATAGAGTTGTTAAACAAAATAAATCATTAGTATATGGTTCACTTGGCTTG